GGTCTATTCTCATTTAACTAAACTCTCCTCAAACTTGCAATCCTCCTGCCTCAGCTTCCTAACTAGCTAGCATTGTAGGCATGCACCATTGCACAGCCATGCAAAACCCTTCAGACATCCAGTAATCTTCAGAAGCTATTGAACTTAACATTGGGCCAGTAACTGAAATACTTGTACATACTGATTCTTGCTCTTTCTTTCTTGTTTACATAACTTTTTTTAAAAAAATATTCTTAGATGTTGATGGACCTTTATTTTATTTATTTGTATGTGGTGCTGAGAATCGAACCCAGTGCCTCACACATGCTAGAAAGTTCTCTTCCACAGAGCTACAACTCCAGCTCCCTTGTTTACATAACTTTTAAGAGTATTTTTAAAATTCCTTTTCAATACTTATAGCTATATGGCTGTATGTCGTAGGTATTACTTGTTTTTGCAGTACTGGGGATGAAACCCGGGGCTGTGCTACTACTGAGCTACTGCATCCTAAACCCTTTTTATTTTATTTTGAGACTGAATCTGGCTAATTGCCCAGRCTGGCCTCAAACTTACAATCTACCTGCCTCAGGCTCCCAAGTAGTTGGAATGATAGGTGTGTGCTTCTACGCCTGGCATGTAGTATTTATAGAATTGAATAAACTATCGGCTTCTAACTTTTTAGGCAAGATCTGAGAAGCAAAATTTGATTCWTTTCCTATTCTTCAAGGTTAGCTTTAAAAAGGTGGCTTAGTTAAAGCTGTAAGTGCAATAGTAATCAGCTTACAGTTATTTTAATCCTGTGAGACTTACAGGGATGTCACTTAGTTATTTACAGGGCATTCTAGAGCACTACTGCCTTGATTTGTTGATGTGAGTAGAATCTTATATTATCCTTGAGAGTCACTGTGCTTGAGTGATTTTTAGTATTGTTCCATCTTAGAGTGATTTCTAGAATGTCAGTTCCCTAAGAAATTGTGAGGATTATTAATGGGCATTGAGAAAGACTTGTTTGCAAATGCCTGTTGCTTTGGGGTGTGTGTGTGTGTGAGTGTGTGTGTGTGTGTGTGTGTGTGTGTGTGTGTGTGTTGTGCAGTGTTGGGTACTGAACCCAGGATCTTACTCATGCTGGGCAAGTGCTCTACCATGCTTTGTTGTTCACACAGAAGTAGCTAATACATAAATCTGTCACTCACAATAGCTACATACCTCAGAAGAATTTGGGATGAGAACAAATAAATGCTATTAAAGAAATGATACAATAGTAGTTGAAAAATGCCAGCATGTTAGTAAGCTTTTCATAGCTGTCACAAAACACCTGACAAGAACAACTTAGAGGAGAAAGATTTATTTTGGCTCATGATTTCAGAGGATTCAGTCTATGTCCATGGTCTGCCAGGTCATGGTGGAAACATCACGGTGGAATGAAGTGGTGAAGGAAAGCTGCTCAGCTCATGGCCACCAGGAAGCACAGAGAGAGGAAGGGCCTTTCCAGGGCACGCCCTAGTGACCTACTTCCTCCAGCCAGGTGACACCTCACATAGTTCATTCAGCCAGYAGTGGATTAATCTTTTTCATGAATGAATCCATTTTGATGGATCAGTTGGATTAGTCAATGGATTAGATCCATCAATTGATTAATTATGCTGATTAAAAAAACACCTGAGTATCTTTACTAGATTTCACTTGTTAACATTTTACCCCATTTGTTATCTTTTCTATTTATGTATATATGTATGTGTGTATATATGTGGTTTTTGACAGTGACTTTTAAAACTATTTATTTACTTTAATTAGATATATATAAAATAGCAGAATGCATTTTGATTCCTTGTACACAATTGCAGCACAAGTTTTCATTTCTGTGTACACGATGTAGCATCGTACCATTATGTGCAGTCATAGACATTTTTAAAGGTTATTTCCAATGTTAGAATTTATTTCCATTTAAATTTAAACTTTATTTTCTATTGTTAGAATTTCTAAAAATTGGGTATCACATCCATGCAATTCTGCTTTCTAAAGTGAACAATTCAATGGCCACTATGACTGTGACTTAATTCCAGAACATTTTCCTCACCCTGAAAGAAACCTATCACCCTTTTGGAGTACTCCTCATTTCCTCCTTCCCCGCTAATCTGTTGTCTTTGGATTTGCTTATTCTGAGCATTTCATACAAATGGCATCGGATGGTATGTGACCTTTTATGTCTTAGCATGATGTTTTCAGGGTTCATCCATATTCTAGCATTAATCCGTATTGAGTCTGAGTGCTGAATAGTATTTCATCGTGTGGATCAACAATATGGCTCAGTAATGTGAAGTATCTCCATTCACCATCTGATAGGTATTTGGGTTGCTCCCCAGGGATGCTGCTGCTAGGAACATCCCAGTACAAGTTTTTGTGTAAATGTGTGCTCAGTTCCCCTGGGTGTACGCTGAGGAGTAGAACTGGTGGGGTTGTGTGGGAAGGGTTTAACTTTTTGTGGAACTACCCACTCTTTATTTTAATATTTTTTAAGTTGTCGATGGACATAATACCTTGGTTTTATTTATTTATTTTTATGTGGTGCTGAGGATCAGACCCAGTGCCTCACAGGGGCAAGTGCTCCCCCCTAAGCCACAGCCCCAGACCCCCAGTCATTCTTTTTCTTTCCTGAGACATTTYCCCCACTCTTTGAAAACACAGGACAGTGATTCTGGGCCAGGGTGGGTGCTTTTCAACTTCAGATGTCTGTCTAGAGGGTGACCGCTGGGGACGATTTCTTTAGAGTCTGACGTGCTGCTCCTGTTTCAACCTGATGTGACCTGAACTGCTGAGTAGCTCTTTTCATCTCCCTCTAGTGGTTTTAGTTTCTTTTTGGTCCCATAGAGAGATCGCTGCTCACTGCAGTTGTTTTAGGAGGTAGGAGTGCTTCCTCATTGGAATATTGTTTACCCTTATCTAATGATTTATGAGGAAAACAGGGAATCCATTCAACAAATGAAGATTTTTTTTCATCTTTTGAAAAACACTGGAGAAAATGAGACAGAATGTAGCATTAGTCATATTCCTTTAAATGGAAGAAAATGTAAAAATGAGTTTTGTTAGTATAATTAATTGGAATTGGTGGTGGCAAATCCAGACAGCCATGGGAATGAAATTTGTTTAAATGTTATTTTAATATCTGTAGTAATTGCTTGTTTCTACCTGATAGAAAAAGTGGAAAAAAATTGAATTTCTATCTGGTTCAGGCATCTTTAGTCATAGGTAGGAAGATCTTAAATGTCTTCAGAAGCTAAATAAATGAAAATTAAAGATAAGAATTGAGGTAAAGATTGCAGAATTCTGTTAGATAATAGAAAAATTAAGTAACATTTAATCTAGGCTGAAGGCTACAAACAATGACTGTGAGATCAACCTTTCTTGAAGTTATAAAATCATTACTAAACACAATATGTATTAAAGTTATCAAGAAGAAATCCAGGGTATCCTGTCTGAACTCTTAAAAATAAAACTTTGATAAGCTAAAATGCTATCACCAAAAATGTCTTGGGATGATATCTAAGTGTTTAAATAAAGGATATGCAACTTCCAACCATGGGGAGATTTAAATTTAAATATAAAAATATTTGCAAGTCAAACTCATGGAATTACTAATTTTATGCTAAAGAGGCAGCACATATTTATTTTATATACTTATAACAGCCTACTAGAGCAATATGTCAGTCTCCTAATTGCATTTCAAAATTTATAATTAAGTAATTGACTTATTGTAGTTTTTAAATAGATTTCTTACCAAATTTGTTTACATTATATGAATATTTATAAAACTTAAGTCACCATATCTATACATTTAATTTACTGGATTTATAAAGATTAAGTACTTGAAAACTTCTGTAAGATAAAGTGAACTTTCTATGTAGAAAGTCTCAGAGTTCCAGTGGAATCAGATACTCTACCTGATTCTTGGTTGGTTGCTGGACACGGTGGGTGCCGTGTTCTTGGGTGTCTGATGGTTTTTCTGCATGGAATGTTGGACTTGATTCTCATGTGTAGCCATTTGTGAACTAGCTGAAGCTTGCTAAGCCTGATTTAAAGTTACTTTGAGGCAGGTCCATAGCAGCCTTTATTCTAGGGCTAGTCCTACTAGAAGGATGTGACCTTTTTCAGGTCTCTGCTGAAAGCTCTCAGTGTTCAAAGAGACCTCTCCTCTCTTGGGGGTTAGATCTTGAATGACTTCTAGACCTTTGTGAACTCTGGGAAATCTTCAGTTTACAACTGCCTGGTGGTTCTTGGCCAGCCTTGGCGCTCACCCCGAGTGTGCATGGCTCACCGCTCGGTTCTCAGGCTTGCTCTGACAGCTGCCTCTTCTGTGGATTCTGCCTTAGCCGCTCTGCCAGAGTTCTCCCTCCCGGTGCTGTGGTCTGTATGTGCTGGGGTTCTTGGAGTGCTCATCTYTTGTCTTCCCCTTCCCTCAGGAATACTGGTCTGGTAAGGTCCGTTGTCAAGTGCCTGAGAACAGTCCACACACATATTCTAGACATTTATGAAAGCACATTTAAAATTTTGTTTAGAGATGGCATAAATCATGAGCACCAAAAGGACAAGTGGCCAGGTCCAAAGTCAATGAAGTAGAGAGGTTTTCTCTATATGTAGTTAAGTCCAAGGATGGAGAGGGAATGAATAATTGTGATCAAGTGAGATTCTTCACAGACAAGGGTGACAAAGTCTTGGTAATCTGCTAAATGTTAATCTTTTATTGTTGTTTTTCTAATCCTTAGATGTATTATTGCTGTTCTCATGTATGTCACACAGCTGTTTTGTGATAAACATTTGTGAATTGAAGTGTTAGTTTTCTATTACATTATTAAATTTTTAAATTTTGCCTATAGTTCTATTTTTTTGCAAGTTTATAGAACATGTAAGGCATGTCAATATGTTTGCTTATGTCACATCTTTTAGTAAACTCATACTCTCAATAATTTGTATTTGCTACTGAGAGAGAAGACAAATTGAAATGTCTCTTTTTTTCTTAATTTTAGAGACCTATTACTACGTTTCTCCACTAGTTGGTGCCTTTTTCTTGGCCCTAACTCCTATCTGGATTATAATAGCTGCCAAACATCCAGCTACAAGGACAGTTCTCCACTCAGGCTGGGAGCCCGTCATCACGGCGATGGTGATAAGTAGGTTAGTGCTAAAGTGTGTGTGTATGTGTGTGCATATTTCAAAATGGCCTGTTTTTATTTCTTGGATTAATCATTTTATATAGCCATTTCATAATTCTCTCAGGTAATAAGGGAAGTTACAGAAGTTATTGAAATCAGTAGATGTGCTGAAACTATCGGCCATGAATTTCAAACTTCTCTTCAACAAGAGCCTTACTGGATGGATAAATAAAATTGTGTGTGTGTGTGTGTGTGTGTATGTGTGTGTATGTGTATGTATTTAACCCAACAAATACATTACTTATTTTTTAAAATATATATTTTTAAGTTTCTGATGACCTTTATCTATTTATTTCTTTATTTATATGTGGTGCTGAGACTCAAGCCCAGTGCCTCATACATGCCAGGCAAGTGCACTACGGCTGAGCCCCAGCCCCAGCCCCAGCCCCAGCCCAAGACATTACTTTCTTTGAATAGTAAGTTGTAAGTGTCAGAAAGCCTTGGAAATATACATGCCATTTGACTCATCCAGGATTCTGACAGACTTAAAAATATAATTGAAGATATATGCAAAAGATATAATTGCAAACATTCTCATCACAGTGGAGTTTTTAATAAGAAAAAATTTAACAACTTTAAGCTCTAGCATCCAGATATTGATTAAATAAACTGTAGTATAGTCATAAAATAGAATATTAGCCATTAAAAAGAACATTATAGAAATACTAGAGAGTAACTTAGAAAAGAGTATGGATTTCCTATAAACACGGTAAATTAAGACACATTTGTCTTTTTCTTCCCTGAAACTAAGATGACGAAAAACAAAAATGCTGTGAGACCATAGAGACAAAGGGGAACACAGAGAGGGTAGCAGGTGAGATTCTCCAAACATTGAAAGATAGAAATCAGAGGAATCGTGGGTAACAAACAGGCAGAAAGGAAACAGCTGGAAGTAGGCCATCTTTTAGGAGCAAACTGATGGGACTCTCAGAAACCCAGGGAGGCGGAGGAAATAGGCTAAAGTGAAGGTCGGGGGAAGGCAGGCKTAAGGAACAGTTAGACCCCAGGCTGAATGCCGCCTCCCCCTTGGCAGAAGGAACCCTGGAGAGGCTAAGTCAGAGAGGCTCCAGGTGCCAGGACGCCTGCGCAGGTGAGGAGCGGATCAAGCACTGTCTAGAAGAGAGGAAGAGGAAGGGGAGGTCCACGGGGACTGGAGAGAGTCACTCACTTCCTTTTCTCTGTTCATAAAATCCTGGTGATGAGGCTATGCCTCCAGGCCCAAAGAAAAAAAGTTAATTATTTCTGAGGAAACTTATCAGCACAAAAGAAAATACCTGCAGATACTGACCCTTATCATCCCTTTGGTGGAAGGGCTGCAAGGCCACATGGTGACAGACAGCCCGTGTCCRCAGAGCTACATGAACACTGCGCAGGGCCCTGAGGGAGCAACAGGCAGGAAGCATGGCCAAGCATTTGGTGACGGCCTCCAGTATGCAAAACCGACTAAAATAGGTACTCAAAGAAGGGCAAGAGCTCATCAAAACCCATCATGGTGTCCTCAGAGTAAGACATGCTGTGACATCCAGAATGTCAGAACCGACTATTAGGGGAAAAAAAAAAGAGACAGGAAGCACTCCTGCCCCCAGARGCAGATGAACTCTCCTGGACAGTAGAGAGCAAAGAGGTGGACAATAGGAGGCAAATGATAAGGAGAGAAAATTACCTGGAACCTGGTTCCCAAATGGAAAGGGCCATCTAGTGCGCATGTCGTCATAAATCACAAGTTCCAGAAAAAGGAAGTTACACATAAAGGTCTGGGTATTGTTATGCCAGATTYGTGGGACCCCAATAGACCTCCAGGAGCCGAATCTGATGCAATCACACAAGAGTCTTTATTGCAAGCTCCAGCCTGGACTCACAACCGTTCCCTACGCAGCGGTCCCAGGGAGTGAGTCCCGATCCTTTGTTCAGTGAGATTTTATAGGTTTGGGGGGGATACTCTATGTGTCACATCACACAGCAAATCATTCCATACCATGGGAAAAATCAAACAACAACTCTTAACATTGATTAGCACATTCACTGGCAGGAACAAGTGGATAGGGGTGATTGGCTAGTACAAGAGGGGKATTCGTTTGAACTGATTGGTTTAGGCCATGAGGGGTGTACTTGCTAAACTACATGGTTTCCCAACATGTTATCAACCACCATAAACTACTTGGGGGTCATCTGGCATTCCAGGTATTTTCCCTGTCTTATGCTGATTGGAGGTTGCTAGGGGGGTTGCTGTGGGCCCTCACCTAGCCTAACTGAGTCAGGGACACCTGGCGCCCCAGACCTCTCCTATTATTTACAGACAAACAACTCAGCAGGGTGGGTATGTGCTTAGGAGTCCTCTGTGGGTTTTTCCAAGGACAAGGGTCACGCCCCCTTCCTTAGGACAGACCTTGAGGTAGAAGCTGCTGTTATTTATTTTTAAAAATAGAGTCACATTAGTTTCTCAGTATCAGTATGACATCTAACAGCAACGCCAGAATTGATTTCTTCAAAATTCCAAGGGTTAATTATTTTGGACATAAAACAGTCACAGTATCAAATAAGAGAATGTCCACAGAGCTACACGAACAAATAAAAATAAAAAAAAGAAAAAGAAAATTCCGGACAGGCAGGATCTCATAGAATTTAGTTCCCATATGCCCTTTCTGTTTAAGCTGATAAACAGAGTCATCTATCAACGTGAGGAAATAAATCAAGAAAGAAGACAAGAACAAGGAGTTCCATTCTGTGACACTGTGTGGTTCCTTTTTCTGTGATGTAGATTGCTTTTTTCTGTGAAATTTTGGAACTTGGTGGTGGTAATAGAACAAGAGGCACGTGAAGGCCCAGCCTGGCAGCAGCTATGCCTGAGATCTGGTGGCCCATCCAGTTGTCAGGAGGGGAGTGGGCATGAGAGGAGATGTCTCTAAGAATCAGAGAATCATGGAATTGATTGGATGCCTGACATGTTTGATGTATTTAGAGGTATTTCATTGACTTTGCTGCACATTTGAGGCTGAATTAGTAATACATCAGGCAAAGCAAAAGTACATGTGAGGATGTTTTGCACACTAGGCTATGAATAATGATTCCATTGTTATAATAAAATCGACCCTAAATACTTCACCCAAATTATAACATAGCCACATTGGCAGGATGAAGGAGGAAGGGATTTGTGAAAGGTCCAAAGTAGGGAGAGATTATAAGAGGCTAAATCCTCATCTGCCAGAGCAGGAAGTCATTAGAGAAATGTCTAGAATTAAAAATGAGAAATACAAGCTGGAGCATGTTATTTAGAAACCAAATTAAATGCCAGGAGAAACGCTAAAGAAGTTAAAAAGAACTCCCAGTAGAGGAAAGGATCTGGGCTATGATTTTATTATGAAGCTTTGTGTTCCTTTCAGTTTTCCAATAATGTACCTTTGTTTGATAAAAATAAAATTTAACAGAAATAAAACTTTCACAATTTGATCTAATTTTTATTTTTTAAAATATACATTAAAATGTTTGGGGTGGGGTTGGGGAGATTTGGGTGCAAATATTCATATTTTTAGTTAGGTCTATTGTATACCATGGTGGCCAGAGTTGATAAGAATGTATTGTATTTTTGAAAATTGCTAAGAAAGAGATTTTAAGTGTTTTCACTTCAAAGTATGTGATTGTTATGTGACATTTGCCATGTTAATTGACTTTAACTCAGCCATTMCACAATGCATACATGTTTAAAACATCATTTTGTACAGCATAAATATATGGAATTTCTACTTGTCAATTTAAATAAATAAATAAATAATAAATACATAAATAAAAATATATGCAAAGCTATATACCAACATGGTAACTAGGATTGGTTTTTATTTTCTTTTTGTTTCTATATTCTAAAATTGTTTTAGTAAGTTTCATTACCTGGGTAGCAAAACTATTTRGAAATGTATTCTTAAAAATGTTCATGTCATATTTACATTATGAGCTTTGCATTTTGGCAGGGAGATTAATTCTTTGACTTATAAGTAGTTACATAAATACACACATAGTACCAACTATATATAAYGTATGTTATATATGCATAAAGTACATATATATATATGCTATATATAGTACGTGTGTGTATATTCAGAATGTGTTTGTGTATACACACACACACATACACACACATACATACACTCTATAGGCTTAACATACTAAATATTTCTAAGGACTATTTTTAGACCCTCTGGTATCCCTTTCTAATGGAACCTCCACAGTTTAAGCATATCAAGCCAAAATTAATTTATTTTTCAAAAGAATTAAAATAATAAGGAAATGATCGTTTCCTAATGTTAACCATCAGGTAGTGGTAAGACATTTGGTCTGATTTTTTTGGGCATGCTAGGCATTGATCTGATATTTTGGAAAATCAGCCCCATTCTGTGACAGCATGTGGTTCATTTTGGTATAATGTAGATTGTGTTTCCTGGTGAGTTAGGCAATAGGGTGCCATGGGACTGACGATGCTTTATAGCACATAGGCCAACAGACTGAAGTTGACCCGTTAAGGGTGGCCTTGGCCTCCAAGTCCTATTGAGACATTGAGTGTCTGGCTCGTTGCTATATTATATTAAAAATAACTTTGGTTCTTTTTTTTTTTTTTAGACTTCTTGGGATCAGTTCTTTCTATGGTTACAACTTATTATTTTAATTTACCCACAATAAGACACGTTTCAGGCAAATCTGCTTTCAGCACAATAAAAACCATCCTTTTAATCTGCTTACTTCAAATGTGAAAAGATACTTTTTTTTTTTTTTTTAAAGAGCAGGTTTCACTGAATTACATAGATTACCTTGAATCTGTGATCATGTTGTTACATGTTCGTATGTGCCCACACAATTCCAACTTTTTACTGTTGATATTGATTTATATTTTGAATATTTTTATTCTGTTTTTAATGTATGTAAGCATTTTATACTACAAAGTGTCTGTAGGTACAGAACAACATCAAGTTCCTTTTTCTTCCTCTTTCATAAATTATGTGATTTTATTTCTTTCAGCATCGGGGGCCTTATTCTGGACACAACTGTATCTGACCCAAACTTGGTTGGAATTGTTGTTTACACTCCAGTTATTAACGGTAAGAATTAGATGTGCTGTTTTGTGATGATATCAAATCTTTATATATTCTTAGGTGCTAAAGGAGTCTCAAATTTTAGGTGATCTATCGTCCATTCTTTCCTCCAACTCCAAGTTGTTGTTATTCAGAAGGGAAATTACCTTCCCTAGTCTCAGATGTAGGACACATTTTTAGGATGAACTGTTTTTTAATTGAGATATAGGTTTGCTAGGCGTACCTGACTTGAAGTCTAGTATGGCAAAACACAATATCCTTTACCTTGGGCCTGTTTGCTAACATGTTATTTTGTTGCTGCTTTTGCCAACGGCCCTGGGTGGATTAGAATTAGCAAGGTTTAACTATTGCCTGAGTCAATTCAGTTCATTAAAATCTGTCACTCCTTTACTGATCCCTTTAAAATCTACCTTGTGTTTTTTCTTATCTGTGAAACAGGAATGTAATACTTACATTACAGAGACTTTTTTAATGAATTGCACTTAATAAGATCATTTTAATCCAATCCTACTGGTTTTGGGGATGGCTGTCATTAAATTGGATTTTAAGGGTAGCCTAGACCAATATAATTTAAAAAGTAATTCTACCTGAGGAAGAACACATCACAGGATATATTACACATTCAATATAAATTACTTTTCTATATTTATGTAAAATAAAATGTCATACAAAGGCAAGTTCTCCAAAATTCTAATCAAGTTTCTACTGAACATACTAATCTTTGTCTGCCTTACAGTGTCCATAACAGGTTCCTTCCCCCCCCCCACACCCCCATCCTTAAAAGCATCAAGCTGGCTCTTCTCTCTGACCAAGAAATGGCCAGGCATTGTTTATTGGCCCCTTAACAGGACTTCTTCATCCGTTGGTTTATTTACATAACAAGCGCCTCTCCCCACTGTAGGTAAGGTCCCCCTGTAGCCATCCACTGGAGTGATGGAGTAGCCTTCCTGACTCACTCCCTGTACCCTGCAAATTAAATGTCACTAAAAGACTGATCTTCCTTAAACTTTGTTTTTATTACATCAGTCATGAGATGAGCTTAGCAGTGGTTTTCTCCTGTGTTTCAAGTCATGATCGACTTCCCCTGGCCAGCGTCCAGACCCTTCTCCTGCTCTTGGACTCGGTGTTTGTTCCCAAAGGACACACACAACTTCTTCTGTTATCATTCTGACTAGATTCATGTGTTGTTCCTGTAAAGGCTGTCTGATTTCCACTGCCTGGAATGACTCCCAATTTCTGTCTATTCAAATTCTCTTCAGTGAATATTAATTGGAAAATTCATTAGCATAAATATTTTCCAATAATGATTGTTACAGCCAAATTGAACAACATTTCAGTGAGAAATTTAACTTAAATTGCCACAAGGCCTTTATTCACAGGCTTTAATGAGTATTTCCATTATTTCACTTTTACCTAAGAGACCTTTCTGGAACATCAGTAAGGGCTGTCTTTGGAAGTCTGGCCATGGTACATGTCGTGGTAATAAAATCCATTTTGTGTCTCAGTGAGGAAACCTCTTAGTTGAGTGTCACACTGAGTTCATCTGACATTAAAATCCACTCTTTAAAAATATTCATAGAGGGCTGGGGTGTGGCTCAGYGGCAGAGCACTTGCCTCTCACATGTGAGGCCCTGGTTGGATCCTAAGCACCACCTAAAAATAAATAAATAMAATAAAGGTATTGTGTCGATTACAACTAAAAAGTAAATATTAAAAAAATATCTGCAGAGAAGATTTCCTCTATGTTCCCCAAGTAAGCTGGAGCTTTAGAGAATTGAATTTCCTTTTAAATATGCTGAGGTGGACTATTTAAGGGACCCCTATTGTTGTTCTCCTCCTCCTGCTCTTTTTCCATCATTTGCTATTTAGTGAGCCCCAGGAACTTACAGTTCTTTTATGGATACTACATTATCATTTAATCTTCACAAGAAGTAAATTGCCCGATGCCTCATATCCAGTAAGTGGTGAGTCAAGGTTGAAACCCAGAGCTGCTTGGTCCCTAAAACTGTGTTTCCCTGCCCCCCACCCCTGAAATTGTACAGCTATTAATTACTTCTTTTCTCAGGTATACAAATGCATTGTTTAAACTTTATCTGAATTGATACTGTGATTAGAATATCTCCTGAGACTTACCAGCATCTCTCTAATTTTAGCGTTTCCCAAATACATTTTGTGGTAACACTAGTTTCTGTGAGGTGCACAGAGGTGGAGAACACATGGTCTTTCATATGAAAGCATCTAATTTAAAGTGTGAGTCTGGAAGTGTACATGCTAATGAGTAYAACTTGAAAAGTGAGTTCTGTGGTCAGTTTGGTAAACATTAGGTTAAACAGACTTTTCTACTACGGGATTCTTATAGTCTTTATTTTACAATATCATTTTCGTAAATCTCTGCTTTGGGTACTTCTGCCAGCTCGGGATTAGAATTTCTGGATCCAGCTTTCCTACAGGCCACTTTAGGAACCATTGACCTACGGCTGATGGCCTGCCGTATTTTATCTGTTCAAACAGAAATATACTACTTTACATTTCAGAGAAGAGACCTCCATCAGGACACGTGAATTGCCATTCTTTCTTGTGTTCTTTTTGGCATACATTCTACGTTGTTATAAATCCTGTAATACATTGTGATTGTTTGTGCTTTTAAGAGTTTTTTAAGAAGATAAAGGAGGAGGTGCTATCTTCTGTATTCCCGTGAGGCTGACATGTGCCGCATTCTTCTCTCCTGTGCACATCCAGGTCTCCATYGGCACCGGGGACCTTCCTTCTGCTGGGGCAGTGCCTTCCGTGTTTCTGGAGGGCAGTCTGCGGAGGAGAGAGGCGGTCGGCTCTGGTCTTTCCTTTCTCTCCACCTCTGTGCTTGCCTTTATCAACGTCTGCTTAACCCTCTTTGGCCAGTCTCGGAGGAGGGGCTGGCTCTGTCCAAGGCGCACCTGTGCCACTGCAGCTCCTGGGACCCGCCCTCCAGCCGTTATTGTACTCTCCCCTGCCTTCCTCTGACATCTTTTCCCTTTGCCTGCGCGTGATCAGGTGGCTCCCCATGCTCCTGCCATTCTCGGAGAATTCCCTTTTATTTCCTTTCATTGGTTTCTGCTTTCTACCTGCCTCTTTTTAAAAAGATATCTATTTTTTAGTTGTAGTTGGACATAACACCTTAATTAATTTATTTTTACGTGGTGGTGCTGAGGATCGAACCCAGGGCCCCACATGTACAGAGCAAATGCTCTACCGCCGAGCCACAACCCCAGCCCGTTTCCATCTGCCTCTTAATTGTTTATATTCTTCAAGACTGTTCTCTCTGGATCATCCTCTATTCTGTCTTCACTTTTTTTTTTTTTTTTTTGGTACTAGGGATTGACCCAAGGGTCACTTAAACTCTCGCCCTTTTTATTTTTGTTTTGAGACAGCATTTTGCTACTGCACCTGGCTCTCTTCACCGTTTTTGTGAGTGATTTTGTCTAGACCAGAGATTTTCAAAGTGTGGMCCCTGGGATCTAAGAAGGCCAAATTCTCAAGCCCTGATTAGGGAGCTCTGAGGTAGAACCCCTCAGCCGATTCTGATAACATACAAAAGTTTGAGGAGTGTGTCTTTGTCATGTGGCTTTAGTATTTTATCTCTAGCCCTGAAACATGTTCACTTCCAGACTCACACTTTAAATTAGATGCTTTCACACGAAAGACCGTTATAGCTCCTTAGTGAACTCCCTGTCTCCCCTACACCCACTCTTCCTCTCTGCTTCTGGTATTTCCATCTCCCTGTATTCCAAGCAAAATGCCACACGTTCCTCCTCCATACTCTGCTTTTATGGGCTCTTGAAATACCTTCTGAATGAGTCTCCATGTTCTGTCTGTCGTCCTTTTGTTCAGTGTCTTTCCTGGRTGCATCCGCACAGTGCCTCCCTGCTACTTCTCTCTTGCCCAGTTTAACCTGTTGTCCGCGTCTGCTGTAAGTTACCTTCCCCAGAAACCTGCTCTTGGCCCTTATTCAGAGCACAGAGAGTTTTCTATTTCGTAGAGGATAAAGTGCTCAGTGTCACGACATACTGGGCCAGTGTGCCGTGACTCAGCCTCCTGGCTCCCTTCCCTGTCACTCCACACACCGCAAAGCTCGCATCTCCTTGATGAACTGAACACAGCCTGTTGTCCCTGGGTGCCAGGTCTGTGTACTTTCTGTTCTTATTCTCCTCTGGGAAGCTCTGCTTATTTATCCAGACCCAATTAAAATGTTACATCTTCTGCAAACTAGATATTTATCATTGGTAACTCTCTCTTTTCTTCGCTTCCACAGTATGTTTTTAGCAATTTTATTGCATTATGTATTTATTTTGAATGATAATTTTCTTTTTGTATAACTCTGCATAATGCCTACCGTGTTGAGGTTTGGTATTGTTGGAGGAGTAAATGCATAAGTTAAAGAGTATACTTAGTCTTGCTACAGACTCTTATGTCACTGAATCGGGAAATTTTCTTGTTAAATAACACAACTTAGAACAGAAACAAAAATTTTCATATATTTTAGTGGGAAGTGATGAGGTGCAATCAAAGAAGCAGAGATGGAAAGATGCTTCCTCCAGCTTGAATAAAAAATTGGCAATGATAGTGACTCTTATTACTTAATTTCTCCTGTTTAACTAGAAAAATTAGTTTAATACTGGTTTCTTAGCATTTCCTCCTAGTTGGTCTGTTCCTTAAGCTCTGGAGATAAGAGTAAATATTTAGATAGGAGCTTTTTTAGTCCATTAAGTTCCAAGTTTCAGTTATGACTGTTTCAAGAAAATTGACACAGATGCATTAAAATAGATTGGAAATTATATTCTAGAACTTATATATCCTTTGCATCTTAAATATGTAAATATATATCTCAAACCCTCTAATCATTCAACTATTACTTTTCTCAAAAGAGTAGCACTCTAGAAACATAATATTTATTTTCCAAAGTTTCCATAAATTGTGTATTTGTTGCTCAATTTACATTTTTATAGGTGTCGCACATCTGGGACAATAGG